ACCAAAGTCGATATACAATGAAAAGTCTGCCACCATGACCATCAAGCAACTATTACTTTGGTCAGTTTGTAAGATCAGCCCAAGGGCACATCAACAGAGTTTGTGAGTAGGTAAACTGTGCAGTATATAAATGAGTGAAATCACTCTGCCTTAAAGACTGAAATAATTATTTTGCAGGCAAACTGTGGGAATTGAGTTACCATGTTAAGTGACGTAAACAAGATTCAGAATGGCTAGTACTGACTCTGGAAATTAGACAAAGAAAATGACATGAGCTTAACAGGGGAGCAGAGCAGACCTGAGTGAGGCAGCAGAGAGTGTACAGAGGGCACTAGGCTGACAGAGTTTGCCTTGCACAGGGAGGAAGATGTCACAGTCTAATATATTCTTTTGTAGAACTTGTATGTGCTATGAAAAATTTATCTATCCTACATTTCAGAAACAATACATGTGAGGTTAATTAGTTCACAAGTAGTAGCAAAAAAATAATTATCTAAGAATAATCTAGTCAACTTTAGGTCTGACATTTGTCACCTTGACCCATTTAGAAATGACATTTATGTATGTGTTAAGAGGGTGTAGATCTATAAACTGAAAATAGTCTCTTTCTTTGCTTAAAATAGTACCATATCATGGCATTATGGTTTATGTAATATGTAAATTCTGTAGCTAATCATGAAGTGTGGCTAAAAATATATGCAAGAATAAACATTTCAATGAAGAGTCGTATGAACAGTTATCTACATAGTTACACACTCAGGAGAGACGTTCGTATCTACTTCTCAAAAGTGCCATATATGGCTTTTATCACATCTTTGAATTTAATTTACTCAAACTTCAACAAGCTGTCATTTTCTAGATAGAAAACCCACACAGATTGTGTCCAATTTATTCCTGGGGAGATTACAGGCCAACGAGAAAAAGAAAGACTAGATTGTTACCGTGAGGGATTCCACAATCATAAGCTTAGTGGAGAAGCCAATCATAATTTTTATTTACAAAAAAAATAAAGAATTCAAAGGTGGCATGATTGGCTGAAATAAAAGTTGATAGAGAGCGATCATCTCTACTTGAAGATGAATGAGAGGTTATCATAAAAAGTAGAATTTTATTTCTCACCTGATTAACAGCAACAAGAACATGTTCATTTTATGATAATCTCTCGATAATAACATTGTTTATTCATCATCTGACCGTAGGTACACCTTAAAATGATTTTACTTAAAAACATTTATAGGTTTGCGAAATTAGGTGCATTTCAACTTATTTTAACCCATTATTGCACACAAAAAAAGGCAACAGAGGAAGAAAATAAAGATAGTACTTCAAAATGAGATAGAAAGACAGAAGGACAGAAGGAAGGCAGAAGGAAAAAGGAAAAAAAAAAGGCAGGAAAAGAACACTGACCTAAGAGCATTGAATCTGTTGTCTGTTGGCAGTTCCCTGCTGGCTCAGGTTGCCTTGGTTGAATCATTGGATAACAGAAATCTCAACACAATCCTCCTGGTTAAAGACTTGGGACAGGAGAAATCAGAACGTTCACACACAGACATACACAAACACACACACACACATTGATATCTTCTCGCTCTAATGTATTTCCACTTCCACATCATCTGTCCTCTAGTCTACTCTGATGCGGAATATACTATGCCAGATATCTTTATCCGAGGTGCCTTTGAGACACGCCAGTGGAGGAACTGGTAAAGAAACAGATGCCTTAGCTCATCTGAAGTGAGAAATTTGTGTGTAAAAGGACAGACACTGAACCAGTCCATCACTGTGACTGCAACACCACATGCAAGTACTTCATCAGCTAAGGACTGTTGGAGATACTCCTTACACTGTGTGAAGATGTGTCGTTGTGGTTGGTTTATAAAGACCTGAAAGGCAAGTAGCAAGGCAGAAATGTGCAGGGCAGTACTTCTGAGTAAAGAGATGTCTAAGGGAAGAAGAAAGGCAATAGTGTGAGCTTGACACAGAGGAAACAGGACATGCAGGAGGAGAGAGGGGTCATGGGCCATGTGACAGCACTTAGATTAATAGAAATGTATGAACTTAACGTATAAGATCTAGTTATAAACAAGCCTAAGCTAAGATAATGAAAAAAATGTCTCTTTGTTGTGTGTTGTTTTTGTTTTTCGGTTTTTGTTTTTTGTTTTTGTTGTGAACAGGCAGCCCTGTCCAGGTCTGGTGGCAGCCCAGACCATAAATTATTTCTCTGAACTAGAGGGAAGCGGGGAAATAAAGGCACAACTGACATGGCTCCGTGCTCACTCATGAAATCCTGAGTGCATGTCCTTAAAATTTTCTCCTCATTTATTCTCCAGACAACCTTTATACCAAAACATAAGCTGAGGGGGAAATTCATTAGGATTCTGTTTCCTATGCCTGCTCTGTCATGTCTTCCTGGTCAGTATGCTAGCTCAGTCAGGTAGGCTTGAATTGGAATCTCTATTCAAGCATCCTCCAAATTACATAGCAGGAGCAAAACAACATCCTGACTGTTTGTCAGGTTAGAGACAGACTGTCTGAAAGGTATGTGACCACTTCATGTATGAACTATGGCTTGAGATCCTGGTTGCCATATTATGTAGAAATATAGGCCACAAAGCCCAAGGAAAATCCACCTACAAAGGAGAGGCAAATGTAGACAGACATACTCACTGTCCATCCCAAGACAGCAAGGGGCTCCAACATGACCAGGTGATGACCAAGGACACAGTGAGACTAGTTGTGCCATACCTTTCCCTTTATTGAAAGTGTTCCTACGAGTTATTCTGGAGGAAGAATCAGATTAAACTTTCCAGTGATGCATATCATTGAGAAGCACTTTCTTCTGAAACATGTACTGAATATGGGAATGGAGTAAACAGCATCAAGGAAAAATCCACTGATTGGTCCAAACCTTGAAGGCCTGGCATATAAAAGGTCCAGGATGCAAGAACTCACAATATTGTAGAAAACTCCCCTGCTGACAGGAACTGTCCAATCACTCCTGACACCATGGCCAACTCCTGCTGCTCCCCTTGCTGCCAGCCTTCCTGCTGCAGCACTGTCTGCTGTAAGCCAGCATGTGTGACCAGCTGCTGTTGTCCACCCTGCTGCCAGCCCAGCTGCTGTAAAACCACCTGCTGCAAGACCACCTGCTGTAAGCCAACCTGTGTGACCAGCTGCTGTTGTCCACCCTGCTGCCAGCCCAGCTGCTGTGAAACCACCTGCTGCAAGACCACCTG